GTGAAGTTTCATCACAATTTTGTCATTAGAAGGCGCTCTATAGGGTTTAAAGATTAATAAATATTTAAGCTTCCCTTGACCTTGACTCCAAAAAGATGTTGGATTATTGAATGTATTAAAACATAAGCCTCATAGTCAAGGTCTAAAGGAATGATGGTTCATCTCCTAGTGGAAGGCTAAAGGAAATGCATACTCTAAAACAAATAGTACCTCAAATGCAATGATTAATCCTAACAGTGTCACTTGACGAAACTGGGATTGAAACATTGGCGTTGTTTGTGGGTAATGAAATGATTTCCCTTAGTCTTTTATTGGGAGATAAACCCTCGATCATGAGGCTTATATTTTGATACAGCGAATAGTTTCACATCACTTAGAAGTCGAGACTAATGATAGTTTAAATACACATTTCTCTTTCGACCATTTAAGATGTCTTATAAGAATAAAATCATAAAACAATACTTAAATATGGTAATTCATTATAAAAACATCTTTTGATATCATATATGATTATGTGTGTGTGGGGGGGGGGGAGGGGTTGCTAACTTGCGTACGCTTTTTTTTTTCAGTTGGTACATTTTAACAATGTGTACCGGGTTTTAGTAGACAAATATACCCTCATATATTATGGATTCTAAGTTTTAAAGTCAAGGGTATTTGAATAATTTTCATTCTCAAAACTAAAAAAAAAACAAGAAACTCCAAAACCCTTACTCACCTCCCTCATTCCTCTTAACCCTTTATCTTTCATCTCTCTCACTCCAATATTTTCTCTGTCATCTCTATAGTAGTCTCAACTGAAGAAACACTCGCTAAACAATTTTTTATAAAAAATGATTTTATAATGAGTTTTCATTTTATAATTTTTGTCTTATCTAATTTTCACAAGCATAATGACATCAAAGTAATTGGTAATTGTCTTGTAAAAAAATTATAAACACTCGTTGTTAAACAATTTCTTACAAAAAATGATTTTGTAATGAGTTTTCATTTTATAATTTTTGTCTTGTCTGATTTTATCTAATTTTCACTAGCACAATGATATTCGAAGGAATAAGTAATTGGCCTGAAGGGTTTTTGTAAAGATTGTGATTCAACATCCGCAGAAGATGAAATTAGAGAGGTTAGATAGGTTTGCTAACTTGCGTAAGCTTTTTTTCTTTCAGTTGGTACATTTTAGCAATGTGTATCGGGTTTTAGTAGACAAAAATATTCTGATATAGTATGGATTCTAAGTTTTAAGGTCAAGGGTATTTGAATAATTTTCATTCTCAAAACTAAACAAAAAAACAAGAAACCCCCCATAACCTTACTTATCTCTCTCATTCCTCTGAACCATTTCTCTTTCACCTCTCTCACTCCAACCTTTTCTCTGTCATTCCTAGTGTAGTCCCAATTGAAAAATCAGAAACACTCGGTGTTAAATAATTTGCCTTTGTAAAGAATTGAGTCATTGGCATATTCACCTTCAAGCAAAGGTTCATTCAAGATCTCTTCAATTTCACCATCTTCACTAACCTCTATAATTTCATCATCTGCATATGTTGAATCATCATCTGCATATGTCGAATCATCATCTCTAAAAAAAACCCTCCAAGCCAATCACCAATTCCTTCGGATGTCATTATGCTTGTGCAAAATTAGATAAAATTATATAAGACAAATTATAAAATGAAAACTCATTATAAAATCATTTTTTGTAAGAAATTGTTTAACAACGAGTGTTTCTGATTTTTTCCACGCCAATTACCAATTCCTTTGATGTCATTATGCTTGTGAAAATTAGATAAAATTAGATAAGACAAAAATTATAAATTGAAAACTCATTATAAAATCATCTTTTGTAAGAAATTGTTTAACAGCGAGTATTTCTGATTTTTTCCAGGTCAATTACCAATTCCTTTATACTTGTGAAAATTGGATAAAATTAGATAAGACAAAAATTATAAAATGAAAATTCATTATAAAATCTTTTTTTTGTGAAAGAGATGAAACAAAAAGCGTTGAGAGGAATTAGAGAGGTAAGTAAGGGTTTGGATGTTTCTTTTTAGTTTTGAGAATGAAAATTATTAAAATATCCTTGCCTTAAAACTCAGAATCCATTATATACAAAAATATTTTTGACTGAAAAATAAACGTAAGCGCGTTAACAAACCCATATATATATATATATATATATTTCTGCTTTCTCGTTCAATATCCTTTTCCAATTTCCAGCTTTTACTTTCTTTTTATCTTTAATTTCTGCAGTTTCTCTAAGTTTCTTGTACTGTATTTTACGTTTATTGTTAAAATTCTGTGTTTGCTTTACTATTTATGTTGTTTACCACATTTCTGCATTGCTAGTTCGAAAATAGTGTAAATAGATGATATTTCCTTCACATCTTGCCATAGGTTTTAATGTTTAGCTCTTGCTTTCTTGGTTTATAGTGTAGTAGTTACCATGCCACGTTAATTTTCTTGTAGGCTACGCATGATTCAGAATTGAGAATTTAATTTGTTTGGGGAATTAATGAGAACCTGCACATATCAAGTTTCTGAAATAGAATCTGTAGGACGCCAAAGTGGGCCTCTGTCTTCACTCAATATGGCTTCTTGAGCCAGATTGAGATTCAATTGACCAAATAGATCGAATACTCAGTTTTGGGTTTTGCTCTGTTGAACGAGTTCTGCATTTTACTGTCATTGGTTTTTTAAATTCTGAAAATGTTCTTTTGATTGCTGTCTTTGCAATTTGCTTAGTTTCGTGAGTAGTGGTTGCTTGGTAGTTTTGAATTCTTTGAAAGCTTGTCCATATCCGGTAATCTATATCATCATAATTACAGTGCATTGATTCTGCAACTGCATCATATTTCTGACTTTAAACTTCTTGCACTGCATGCATTTTAAATTCCAGTTTTATGCATATACTTGATACCCAATTGAAGACTTTAAGTCTTGCGCATGTTCTGAATTGATCAGGTTTCAATTAGTGTCTTTCTTTATGCATAGAATAGGTTTCTATAATTTGCATTCTAGTTCTAGACTTCAATTTCTGATTCAGCATTGCATATTTCTTAAATTTCCAGTTTTAACAAGTTTTAACTAGTACCCATTTAAGGTCATACAGTTCTTTGCATTTGCTGCACTAATTAGATAGTTCTAGGATTAATTCATCTTGCATTTGCACCATATTTGAATCAGTTTTTCTGCATAATAGGTAATTTTACAGATCAGGACAATTTTACTGCCACATTAACTCAGTTTTGGCTGGTTTAAATGTAATTTCTGCTTTCATGCATAGCATCCAGTCAGCCTGTATATCTCACGCAAATTGCACCATTTAACACCTGTTCAAGTTGAGATAATGCATCTGCACAGCCTAGCTGCAGCACTTGAAACCTGATTTGAATCTTAGACTTAGGCTGTCATGCATTTTATTTTATTGCTGCCAATTTTTTTTTCCAACTGTGATTTTTATAGTGCTTTCAGTCTTGAATCATGCGTTGCATCTCCGGTTTCATTTCAACATTATAAACTTGTATAAACCATCTTAATCGTATTTTAAACTCTTTTTACAGAATTTTGCACATTGCATACCTATAGCACACAGCATTGATATTAAATAATATGATAGATGCAGTACATTAGGTCACTTAGGTTCCACACAAGCATTATAGTTCTAAGTATATTTTTTCATAAATCTGAAACATTGCTTCTGCCCATTTAGGTGTTAGTAGGCAATATTCATTTCTACATACATTTCTTGCATTTAGCATGCATTGTCCATGCATAAACATCATTTTCAGCTTGTCCATGACACTGCATCTGCATTCAACAGTTTTAGAACCCATATTTTGTCATTAAAATAGTTCTAGTGCAGTCAAAATTGCATTTTTGGGTTTTGAAACCAGATTTTTAGTTCTACATCTATTTTCTGTAATTGAGTTTCATAATTCATGCACATTGATTAATCTGGACTTGTTTAGGCATTCATAAGTAGTTCTGCATTTGTACCAAAATTCCATTTAAGAAGCTATTAAAAAGGCTAGTTTAGGTTCACTTGCATGCATTCTGCTTTTAAACTTGTTTTCGGCATTTTAGTTGCATACCTTTCATTCACTAGGTCAATTAGATAGTTGCCTGCATTCTTGCATCTTCCGTAGCATTACATATTTTCACAGCATATTTTTAGTTCATTTAAGTACATTCTTTCCTTCTGCGACTTATTTTCTTTGTACATTTCTTTTTACATTTCCCCCATTGTTTTCATTGCATTTAGCAAGGATAAAACTACAAATTAATGCTTAAATATTCCATCTCCTAGGACTCATACCGTTTCTTACCTAAACTACATTAGGGGAAAATTAGGAGTTTTGCTGACTTGAGACAACTACATGGGTTTTAACAAATTGGCATAGTTGCCGGAAAGATGACAATTTAAGTATTTATTTTATATAGTTAGCCTTACAATTGTTTTTTGAGTATGTTTCTTATTTTCCTAATTTTTTTATAAAAAAAAATCTGTAAATATGTTGGCTTTATCGGTTATATATTTTTTCCTAGTAAAGAAATCATGTTTACTACAACTTATTGACATACTTATTCAAATTGTTAAATGATTAATATATTACATTTTTATAAAATAACATCTCAATTAAAACCATTTTTCCTGAATATAGTGATCCAAGTCTAAGCAATCCAACAGTAGATCAAATTGATTTAATTCAAAATATTTAAGAAAATAAATTAAATCAACAACTCCTAAACATATCCATTTACAAATGCATAAACTTGAGACGTCAATTATGGATGGATATGAAAATCATACAAACGAATAAATAAAGGTTTGTTCAAAATGAAATTTAAAGCAGCCAGAACTTTTGCATCTACTCAATCATTGTCCCAATAATAAGTTCCAAGATTCTTTTATACACTGATAATTCAAATAAATAATCATAAGATTGTTTCACGGAAGGATTGAATCAATGAGCACAAATACATAAATTTGCAGTGTTGAGTTAACTTGGGCAAATTACATCTTTAGTACAAAACTTTTGAATGTACGTATACAGACACAATGAGTTTGACAGTTTGGAACTCAAGGTCATAGTTTCTTAATCGTGATTAAGATGCTTCAATGCATCAATTGCCAAAATTTGCTACTCACTGATGACATGGATATTACGTTTGCTTGGTAAACAAGATGTTCCAGTAGTTTTGGATTTAGAAGTACAACACCCCATTAATTTTTTGGAGGGTCATCCAGTAGTCATTAAAATAAATTAACGGATACATGTAAGTTCTTTGTTTTGACAAGATTATACAGGCGATAGAGATGCCGTATAAGATCCATCAATGTATCTTATGCCTTTTAATGAAGATGAACACATTCGAGAAGTGACTACAGTTTCTGGAATGCCAAAAGTATTTATGTGTTCTTGTAAACTTTCACTATCTACAGCTTCAGATTTCTCCTTCTCACAAATTGATTTCAAGGCAACATTCAATCCAATTGAGCTAAAATCCGTAGCAAAACTGTAAAGCATACGATAAACAAACATCATTAAGGTTTCAAACAACTATGTATGTTACAACTGGATTATGATGTAGAAATTTATGACATTGCATAAATGCTTATGAAATTATTCTCACTAGATACAACTCACTGTCACTCAAACAATTGGCAAGTTTCTAAAAAAAGGGAAAACAACTATGTATGTTACAACTGCATTAAGATGCAGAAATTTATGACATTGCATAAATGCTCATGAAATTCTTCTCACTAGATACAGTTCACTGTCACTCGAACAATTGGCAAGTTTCTAAAAATAGGGAAAGATGGAAATATTCCTAAATCCTTATAAAATTTCATTGTTGGATATCTACCCAACTTTTATGATTCGCTATACAAGGTTCATTACCAAAGTTCAACCATAAACAATATTGAAACTGCATTTGACACATGAAATTATCCTATTGAAACAGTTCAAATTAGTGCAAAAAAATTCTCCAAATAAAGGCTATTCATACCTTGCTTCAAAGCTTCTTCCCTCAGAAGACATCAATGCACACATACGACAAATAATCCAAGGTGGAAGAAGAGTATCCTTAATTTCAATGGTACAAAGGCCATCAGACGATCCTTGTATAGGCTCCCCATCTTTCCATGTAGACCCATTATAAGATGCAGCCATGTCCTCAGCTCTTCTTGTCTCTGTGAATTTAATCTGAAGCAAAAGTATAGGAAGTCCAATTATTTAAATAGTTAGCATTGAAAAAGAATTATTGCAGCTTCAAACAAAGTGGTCACAATTGAATTTTCATATGGATTCCTACACTAGGTTTCCTATAAAATAACACATTACTGAAACTGCCCTGCCCAAATACACAAACCTAGAAACTAGAGCAGCTATTATAACAATAACATTGAAAACCTAAAAATATTATTAAGATTACTTGCTTATAAAAGAATGGAATGATAGTTCAATGATCAACTTAAATTTTGCAAATTATAGAAACAAAGTACATGAAAAATAAAAAGGAAAGAAAATGAAATCAAGAACATACATCCGGAGAAGACAAAGCAGAATTTTGAAATGGCACAGGGGAGCACAAAACAGGAGTGCCATACTAGATAGTGAAGTCAAGAGAAACCTGCAAAATGTTAGTCAGCAACAAAATTAAAAATACAGAAGGAAACATCAAATAAATCTGATTTAATATAGATTAATGAAGCAGACCAATGAACTTCCTACAAGCAAGATGAGTTAATTTCAATGTGTTTCATAGTAAAACTTTCCAAAATAATATTTATTTTTCGTAAACTTCACACTAAGCTTACAAATAATATATCATTGACGAAACTTACATAACAAAATATGAAATCTGATACCCAAATGTAAATGTTTATCAAAACATGTCAGTCTGAAAAAAAAAAAAAACTGAAATCTAAAAAGAAAGAGGTTGGTCAACTATAATTAAGTAATAGGCGTCATATAAAGCATGTACATTGTTGTTTCCACTAAATACCAGCAAAGATTGTGGACTATTATCAACTTCGGAGAATGACCTTAATCGCCGAATCTGCATTATTTGAGATAACAAGCACCAATTAATATAAAGTATACATTAAAAATAAATACAGAATTGGAGCTGGGGAGAAATCAGTTAATTGATAGACTTACTCTCAACACCATAATATACACCAAAAGGAAAGCCAACTAGTAACAAGAAGTGAAAGTGTGAAAGACAATTACCAATTTAAAAAATACATTTTATTAATGAATCTTTTAACCATCAACTAGTTCAGTTCAATTTAGACATACAAGTAAAAATTAACACTTTTAATAATTTAATAACACTAGGAGATCATTAAAAACATGTTTACAAGCAATTTTAAATTAAACTCCAAATAGTTGAGTTAATGTTAACCAGGACCCAGAAGTGACAGATGTTTGGTTTCAATATTCAGTGCAAATTTATCAATAGAATCAAAAAACAATGAGCATGCTATGAAGGAATTGATCATTTCAATCATTCAGATATTAGTACAAACATCACCAGGAAAACAAGCATTGTATAAATAGCATACACATACAAACCTGTCCTAAGTTTTGCTTCTCTATCTCTGACAGCTCAACTAGATCCTCAGTTGCAACCTGTTCCACTTTCGAATGGCAAAGAGGCATAGAGAAACAGACATCCTAATAAAGGGTATAGAACCAAAATAATATTCAGAAATCATCAAAAAAATGAAATATTAATGCCAAAAATATAGTTTTATAATAATAACATCAACAACGATGCAGTGATAAAGAAGTTTTGCTGAACAAACACTACAGACAAAGGCCATAAAACAACATGAGTACTATATGGAAAACTACATTTGAAGTCCAAATGCTAACAGTAGCAAAGTCATAAACAAAGTACATCCCTGTAATATGAGTAGCTTACATGCTCTCTTAGCAATGATCTTAAACCTTGGGTTGACTGAGAGATATAAGCATTGCACAAACATTTGGATTGCCCAGAGCTGTCACCACCAGTAAACATCACCACAAACTGAGCAGTACAAACTACAAAATAAAAAGAAAAAAATAGCAACCGCAACATTCAATATTCCAATATAAAAAGGCAAATGTGCTACTACAAAATAATACATAATGAAGTTGGAAGGTTCAACCAATAGCCAACTTAATTATGCATCAATAATACCATAAGAAATCAAGAACCTATTTCAAAACAAACAAAAAAATGCTCTTTAAACAGAAACAAATTAAATTACATCTCACAAGGGGTCAAACGAAATTCCAGAATAGAAAAGGCAATATAAAAATGCATCAAAGAAATGAATTATATTCGACAATTACCATAGAAAAGGCTACAAATGTCCTTCCGAAGCATATAATATAGGTCACGAAAGGATTCTTCCCAAGCTACTTGTCGTTTCCTTAAGAAATCCAATTCTATTGCATAAGGCAGAGGAAAGAAAATAAGGATAATTGAGAAAGGAAAAGTAGAAAGAAGAAACCATAAATTGGCATGCTGAAAACTGATTCACAACCTCCATCTGATGTTGATGAGCTCAAGACTGATATCAGAGAAGGTGGTAGAATGGATTGAGGATACATCCATGAATGTAGACCATAACCTCTCACATTTTGACTCTTGAAATAACTATTCTGAAAGGCTAACTGAGGCATGGTGCCACGCATAACTGACCTATATCATGAAATTTGAAAGTCAAAATAGCATTAAACAAGAATGGACTTCAAGGATAGTTGCCACTAGAGCAAACAAGAAAAGAAAAAACTACACAAAACTCATAAAAATAGGTGCTGCAACTTCAAAATACATAGAAAAACTGAAGAGAATAGTTCCCTGTTCAACCTATCAATCTAAGCCAAACAAGCTCTGTATATGGACTAAACAGTTTTTCATAATAGAAATAATAAAAAAACTAATGTTAGCATACCATGGCTACTTAAAAATAAAAAAATAGGGTGTTATACAAGCATTAGGCACCCTGGTTTACAAACAATGAAAACCTTGAAATCATGATATATCTCACATGCATGATAAATGCCTTAGTTCTATCAACTACTCTATTACAATATCAAATGTCAATATTTTTCTTATCAATTTCTGAAATGTCATGAAACTAAAATCTCACCATATAGCTCTACCTCATCATTATTTTTAAAATGTTTCACCCACAGTGCATCTATCAGCATTGAGTATAAAATCAGAATATCTTCCTTAAAATGATTAAGGAAACATAAAATACCACACCTTTCAATATATAAACCACAAATCCCAGTCTAAAGGCTTTTTAATTCAGTCAGGTGCAATTACTTCATCACAACTTAAGACTCACCTGTTCACAGATGACGATACAATTCGCATACTGGTTTTTAAAGTAAGATCCAAAGGGACCTTCTGGCCAATTAAATTGCATTCAGACAAGAAATTTCCTAAAACAGGGTGTCCATCAGCCAAATCAGCAGTTTTGTCATTAGCATAATGTTCTTCAGGTGCAGCTAGTCCTCTTAATGCTTTTCCCTACAATTTATTATTGTTGCAATTAATAACCTGATAATGAGAATCTAAAGTACAAGTAAATAGTTGAGAAAGGGTCAAACACGGTCTTTGTATACCAGGTCAATAGCACCTGAGCCACAACATATATCAACGGCTGCTGAAAGTTCAGAAACACTGCGAAATTTCCCTTGACTGCACTTTCCAAATGTTTGACAAGGTTGTAAGACGCTATCTTTGCCAGGCTCAGAAGACACATCAGAAGTCTTTGGGCTGACAACAAATTTGGAACAAGATCAGCATTGGTAAAACAAGACCATGGGATCAAGCAAACAACAGGATTATCAGGCAAACCATGAATTTTCTTGCTGTCTCTTAGCCTCCAAAATCGAAAAAACTGAAAGATTTTTCAGATTACTTGTTTGTTCCAAGGATGGAATACCCTGAGCACAGTAACAAGATTTCATTGTTCAGTAACAACAACATTAACATCTAGGGATCATTGATTTGGGAAGATGTCAATTGAATAAACTAAATGAGCCATGAGTTGGGCAAAAAAATAGTAACCTTTGAGTTTTCTTTTCCAGATGCAATTTTAAACCTGGGCTTTTTTGCAGCAAATACTTCATCAACCCGTGTGTTAGTGTATCTAGGGGGCTTCCATAACCCTGTTCTTTTTAATCCATTGCTCACCTCAGTGGTCCTGCAAACATAAATCAAAAGTTCTCAGTAAATTATGAAATAATAGATTAAAAGAGAAACAGAAGCTTACTTAGCAGTATCAGCCAAGGGGGGTGGAGATTCAGCATTATTATCCAGAAAGCTTGCCCGTTTCAATAGCTCTCCCTGTCAAGAATTTACAGTATGATAATGATATCTACATTTTTGCTCCGCTACAATTAAATGCTAGTTATCAATATGAACAGGGAGACATTGTTGTACGAATCTTAAATTTAAATGTGCTATGACTATACACTGAGGGGTATGGCAGCATCCATTTCGGTTGAAACGATAAATGAACATATACAATTACATGATGAATAATAGAGATGTAATGAAATATGTCACAAACTATAATTCTAAAGTTCGCTTCAAGACAGCCTTGAGAGCATACAGCAAGCCAAACAAAATGCACTCATACAAATCATCCTTGCACGGATAAAAATGAATTATATACCACAAAATATGTAACCATTACGGCAGAAATCATGCTCGGACATGGATGATGAACTACTTTAACTTAAACAGCTTCCATTGTAATAATCACAGAAATTGAAAGCTAGAATAAAAGTCCAGACAAATACTTAAGGTCACAAGTTCAGCAACCAACCCTGAGTTCCGAAGGTGTCTTCTTCTTAACCATAGGTCCACTTTTCAAAGGCACCGAACCAATTCGATGAGAACTCGGTTTAGCCACCTTTGCCATGCCTCGTTCCGCTATGCGTACTTTTACCAACCAAGCGTCATCGAGATTAATCTGTAAGTGCAGATTCAATGAGCAAGAAAGAAAAAAATTACAATAGAATTAACAAATTGCACAATGAGAGAGCAAGTTTTGTGTGCTGAAAATTGCGGTAGCAGATGAGGGCATGTAGAAGGATAGCTTAGGTTTTCAAATTTGAATTGAATAAAGGTGAATCAGAAGCAGGAGGAAAAGGAACAAACCAAATAGAAAGGAGGTGAATCGTGACGTGCGATACTCCACGGCGGACGGTGTCGTATGGGTTCCTGCGAAGCAGAGGATGGGGGAAGATTGAGTGAGAGGTAGGGAGAGCGGGACCTTGTTGAAAATGAATAGTTCACTCTTCTTGTGCTTTTACATTTTAAAACGAAATTTTTCATTTCCCTCCTATTTGTGACAGGTCACTGTGGTGGTCAGAACAGTTTTAGCTTTTGTAAGCCATTTGCTTTCTACACCTCCATAATTGTCCTGTACACTCCCAATGGTGCAAAGTTCAAGATGCAAGTCAGGCCGTTCTTGTCCAGAAGCAAATTCGAAAATTTCATTTGCAAGACTGCGCGTACGTTTATTAAATATAAGATTTTAAATGAATAAAAAAGATAAATTATTTATTTCTTTATAACATAAATATATTATAATGTGAATTATTTATTTTTATTAAAATTTTATTTCTCTAAACATTTTACTTACTTTTTAAATATGTAAAATTCAAAATTAATAAGTGTTATAATAATATTTTTTATCATATGTGTTTGATTTCTCTATTTATATCTAAGTTATAAAATCTTTTTAATCTATATTAGAATATGGTAAGAGGACATAGCCGGCACAGATTTTATTGTCCATCTCGTCCTCCATCTTATTCTCATATTCAACTGGTCAAATTTACATTGATGTTGATAACTGATACATTCATACTTATTTTCTTATGATTTTAATATTAATTGTTTTTTAAGAAAATATTAAAAAATATATTATCAAATGTTTTATATAAAAAATTAGCAAATATTAAAACATAATGAATGACTGTATAGATTTTAAATTGAAATGGTAAATAAAAATTAGATAAAAGGAAAACAATTGTATAAAAATATTACACAAATACACATAAATAAAATTTTATTACAGTCAAAATATTTATTAATTTTAAAAACGTTATGAAATAAAATTAATGTTAAAACGTTTTCTTAAAAATTTTGAAAAAAAAAATATAAATATGTTAATGTTGTTTTGCATTTTATATATACGGTTGAACATTTTTTTTAAATTATAATATTATGTTATAAGATAATGATATTTGTAACATAATTTAAGTTAATATATAAAATAAAAGTATATTTGCTAATAATTACAAAAAGTTTATGATTCAATTGTCAAATAGTAGGAAGGACAGTCAGCTAAAGTAATCAAGCGGGAGGGTTTTAAAGCGAAACTACAGGGAGGGTAGTTTTGCTTTTTAGAGAGTAAAAAGAAAAAAATAGAAAAACGTACTATATGTACAGTTTTAATATATGTATTATATATAATTTTATATATTATATATATAATAT